TTGACATGCGCCGGGCGCATCGGACATTCTGGTAGCAGAAATTCATTTATGCTTTGCGGCTGCTAGAACCCCAGCTACATTTTTGGCATGGGTAGACAAACTTTCCAAGTGCCCACTTCACAGATCTGTGATCTTCCCGGCCAACTATAGAAGTCTGCTTCCTTATAAATATCATTTGCACACTTCGATTCCCTGCCTGGACTCGAGCAAATCAGCATCTTATTCCGCCATGATTAGTGCACTTATCGCACACTGCATTTTAGGGAAGGAGAGAAGCCCCTTCCACTGGAAGTGAATTAAGTCACACCCACAGCGGCAAAAACGCTCCAGCACGCCTGCACCCCCTCGTGAGCAAAAACCGGTTCAGATAATGGATGGAGGGACAGAAGTACGGTGCTTTGGTGTTAGGTGTTTATATTTAATATATCTGACAGATAACCAATCATTTGCTTTCGCCTAAAAGTGGAAAAGCACGGTGTGCAGTGTTCTTTAGTTTTGGAGGGTCTTCTCATATCCAAAGAGGAGGTCTTGAAAACTACTGACATGCAGTAGATTAACACGAACTTTGAACTGAATTACTCAGCTAAATAGCAAAGATGCTGAAAGGCGGCGTAATAATGTTTCCATCTAGGAATCCGTACAGTGTCATAATTGAAGATGGGTTTTTTTTTAGATCAGATTGCCACAAGGCAGAGGCATCTGCACGTGGTCAGATGATTTCATGCTGAATGAATCATGAGCATAATCAGTATATAAATCTGATTGTGACCAATTTTAAATGATACAGTGACGGCTGCCAAAGAAAGACAAACCACTCTCGGCAAGATGATGTAAACGAAATGACCTTACCGAGCGTACTTAAGTGACCTTTGTCCTCATGTATCCTGAAGATTTGTCTTTCAATAATCAGAGAAAGCAGCCATGAGCTGGTGGTGCAGATAGAAATGCATCTTTGTGTTTCATTTGTGGCCCAAATTCACACGTACACGACCAATCAGTAAGGGAATTATTTCTTTCGTTCTTTTTTTCTTTCTTTCTTTCTTTCTGTCTGTCAGAGGGTGCACATCTGTCCACTTCCCAATTGGGCTGCTACCACCTGCTCATGAGATTTTCTGAGAAAGAAAAATCATCTGCCCTAGGCAGTGAGAGAGCAGTGTGGAGTTACAGACGAGCAGGGTTACAGGGGTTAACTCACCAACAAGAGGCCCATTTACAGACATGGACAGGAACCATCTATCAGCACTCTGCTGCCTGACACCGCACAGGGTCGCCTTAGGCTGAAGCTACTGCTCCAAAAAGTACCCCGAATTAGAAATGAATAGGCTATCCTTATGCATGGTAAAATGTTTTAATGCCGCATAGGATTTAGTTCACATGATGTGCTTGGAAAATTCTTCATGGTTGAGTGAAAAAGCAACAATCTTGAATTCATAAACAACTGTTCTGTTTGGTTGAAAAAGAATGTGGTGGGCATCTCTCTGCTCTACTCGATTGAATTCATAATGAGAAAGTGACAAGTTTCTCCCATGACCCCCACTTTATATACATACACATCCATCCATCCATTTCCCGATCTGCTTTATCCTCACAAGGGTCGCGGGGTGTGCTGGAGCATAGCCCAGCTGGCTTCGGGCAGGGGACACCCTGAACTGGTTGCCAGCCAATCACAGGGTACACATACAGACAAACAACCATTCGCTCTCACACGCACACCGAAGGATAATTTAAGAGTGTTCCATTAACCTGCCATGCATGTTTTTGAAATGTGGGAGGAGACTGGAGTACCCGGAGAAAACCCACGCAGGCAATCAGCATTTTTGACTACGTAGAAGTACGTACTCCATAGTAAATGGATTGTGTTGCATCGCTGACCATTCCAGGTCTTGATGATGTATAGTGCTCGCTGTTTTCTTGTGTGTGACAACCATCAACTTCAGGGGCGGCACAATCTATGTGTAAAATGCATGCTTACAAAATTATATTTTAATCTGGTAGTTTTCTCATCTGAACCAGGGTTTAAATATGGATTAAATTCCATTTTCCACATTCACAAAAAGAGCACAAAAACAACATATAGTTCAAGAAAAAAAAGGGGAAAAAAACTATTCGTACATGCCAGAGGCACTTCTGTCACTTTCCTGCGTCATAACTTCTGAGAAAATGGTTTTGACAATCTGAGAGTTAGTGATCATCTCCCCAGTACGACATTCTTATTGATACTTTGGCGTAAATTACAATTTTGTTTTGTTTTGGTTTGTTTCACTGTGGTTTGCAGCATGTGCATGTACTTGCAAGGTAACCCGAACCTGCTCCGCCACATGGGACAGAACACCTGCAAAACTCTTTTCTGTCAAACTCCCAATATAACATGTCACACCCACCCACGCACGCACACACACACACACACACACATACTTTTATACTGTCTAGCCTACAGTACAAACTCCAACATTTCATAGAAAGCAGTGCACATACACGTTCACTCCTATAGGCAGGTCTGTCACTTATACATACTCACACCATTCCGAGGCGTTGGCAGGCCTATTAATACCACACTTGAAGGACTGGGCTTTGGGCCATGAGATGCTATGTGGTGTCTGATACACGCTTGGGTTTTTTTTCTGTCCTCGGAGTGCTCTTAAACGGAAAGGCTAGAGTGTAAAATCTCTACATCTAAAGCTGATTCACCTAAAATGATCAAAACTTTTTTGTTTTTTTGTTTGTTTTTTACCAGACTTACTCAGTGACATATTTGTGAGACATATTTATATATTGTGAAACATTTTTATGAATTCTGAAACAAATTCTCATTTGGCAATACAAAATTACACTGTAAAATGCAACTGACAAGAGAAAAAAAAGGAATTAAAAAACATGAGACAGTAAATTTAATTCAAGAGAAGGCTACTTATGGAAAGTTTTTTTTTTTTTTTTTAACAATGTGTCAATCAGATATTTTGAAATTGGAAAATACAGTGTTTTTGTGGAAAACAGGTTTGTGCGTCAGCCCATTTCTCCATCGGCTGTTTGGCTAGAAACTTAACAGAACAAGCAGGAGAACTCTGATTTCATTTTTAAAAATGGTTTTCATTTTAGAAGTGGATATGCAGAATTTTTATAGAGGGTTACTGTTGCAGTCTACAACCCATTTACCGGTACCATTGTCAAGAGCGGGGGTCTAAAATGTTTTCCATCCCTCCCCCTGCTGCAACACACCCCAATTCAAATGATCAGGATCGTTTTCAGGCTTCTGCCGAGCTTCCTGATGAGCTGATCACTTGAATCTGGTGTGTTGCAACAGGGAAAGATGGAAAATATGTCGGAAAGCGACCCTCGAAAACCGGAGTTTGAGACCCCTGATCACGGGATGGGATTGGGACATTTTACCATTATGATTGTAAATTGTATTATTCTTTCATGAATTTTGGTTTTGACATCTGCGAATGTGTCATTTCCAATGTTGGATTCCTGAATGTTTTTGGCATTCAAAAAAGTGTTTTGGCATTGCATTTTGTTGATACTACTCAGCCACCGTGCTTTATTGTTTAAAAAGACAATGAGTAAGACATCAATCTGAAATTGTCAAATCAATTAGTCATATTTGAGCAAAACTTGGATGAACGGGGGACTGGATAGCAACATCGAAACCAGCTGGGAGCAGTTGATAATAAATAAAGCACACTTTCACAAAGTCACCATCAAGATGTTGAAGTTCTTTCTGATGGTATTCACACAGAAAGAAAAAACATGGCTGTTATTGGAGAAAAGTGTGAGATGTATCATTTGAAAATACACTCGATTTTCATTTGGCCCAAAGCAGTGGAAAGTACAGTAGCTTTCCAGATCCGCAAAATAAATGAACCGCATAAATCTTAAAGTGCATGATGTCCGTAGTGCTGCTATCTGGTCCACTCTGGTGCTTGAAATGTTTACCCATTCGCTTCATTAATAACAGGACCAGATGTTATAACAGATGATTAGTTTCGAATGACATGCCATTCATGTGAACCTACCATCATTGCTTCCATCAGCGGTCCCAAGTGCCCAACGGAAAATCCGAAACGCGCCTTCTTCCCACATTAAGTGTTTGACACATTTTCACGCGATATTTACAGAGTGCCATACGTTGCCCACCGCATGCAGTCACAATCGATTACCAAGTCGACGTAATCATAATATTTAAGATGCGTTGCAACTAGCCAAGTGTCGTCAGACTGATACGATGCGCTCCATCATCTGATTGCTGGTTTGCTTTGTTCATGCTCAGAAGTAACATGGTCAGAAAATGTTGTTGCCACGCCATTGTCGCACAGCTCACAATTGGTATAAATTCACAAAGCTCTTTCGAAGTGTGTATGGCATGAATATGTGCACAATCCAAAACTGTTTTTTTTAACTTCAGACACAATACTATTTGCAGGCTCCTAAGATTTCAACTTAGTAAATGCATTTACAGGTGGAATATGTCTGAAGTGTGCAAATCAGGCAGAACCATAATCGAATGAACAGTTTTTGCAGTTGCTCCCCGAAGTCCCATCACTCTTCACTGCTTGTTTCATGCTCGAATGGTGAAACCTTCTCCCTGGGTGCCACAACCAAACAATACCTGTCCCGTATGTGCCTTCATTGCAATGCAAAACGGATTTGTAGCGCTTCGGCATCAGTGAAGTGCCTACTTTCAGTAACAATGTCAGGGCCATTTGGAAGTGAAGGGCCTTGAGAATGGGACTCAATCTAGATACAGTTTGAAATGTAAAATACTAATTTAAATCTGAAATCAACCTCTTACTCTTGAATGCTTAACCACTGAAATTTAGTTTCTGATCTCGTTATGTCAAAATCAGTCATCCTTCATCACGTTAGAATTTCAGACGGAAACTCGAGCAAAGGAAACAAGGAGGCGAGGGAGTGAGAAAAGGAGTGTCCGAGGTTTTTTTTTCTAATGGGCGCCGCCCCTTGGCTGAGGGTTGGTCAGAGAAAGCGAAATAGGGCGCAAGGATTGGTTGGCTGTGAAGTAGACGGACTGTATCGTCTCTCCACAAACAGACACAATAAAGTTCCGAAGCCGGTCTGCTGGATCTTGGAGGCGCAAGAGCTGATCGCCGGATCTGCGCCTTTTTTTTCACGGAATCTACAAGGAAGAGATGATTTGTTTTGGCCTGCAGCGGCATGTGCAGTTTTTAGGTGAACAGGTTTTTATATTCGTTTCGGCGTTCTCTCTGGACGTATGCAGCATCTATTAAACGCTCCGGATAGGATAAGGTGACCTACCACCAGGGACGAAGCCCGGGCGCGTTGGACAGTTCGGACTTTTTTCCAAGGCGAGGTTTTTAAAAGGAATAAGATTGCAAAAGACGGCGACTCCGTTTTGGAGTGAGCATGCAGGGGGTTCTGGTGTCGCTCACTCGGGCAGTCGTGCTCCTCCTGTTCGGACTGCTCGCTCCGCCGTGCGTGGTGCGCGGCTTCGGCGATGAAGTGGAGGAGATGACCTGCGACCCCATCCGGATCAGCATGTGCCAGGGTTTGGGATACAACGTCACCAAAATGCCCAATCTGGTCGGCAACGTGCTTCAATCTGACGCCGAACTGCAGCTGACCACGTTTACGCCGCTCATCCAGTACGGCTGCTCCAGCCAGCTCAAGGTACGGCACACATGTGGGACCCGCGTCCAGTGTGTATTTATAAACAGACCGCAACAGAATGGTTACGCACACACACACACACACACACACACACACACAATTTGGGATGGAGCTTCAAATGGCCAATGCTGGGTTCAGACTGTCTGCAAACCTGTGCGTGCGTGTGTGGATGGATGGAGGAAAGGGAGCGCATGACAACATAGAGCTGCCACCAGTAAAAGTATTCACGTACTGCAGGATGAACTGGAAAGTTCATGTCCGTCTAATGTGCAATGTAATGGCAATTTAGCCTCCTCTGCCAACCATCCTCACGCCTTGCCTCCTCGGCAGTCTACTCTGAATCAGTGATTCCCAATCAAGTCTGGAAACTTAATTAACCCCAAATCAAATCAAATGTATTGGGTACATGTCATGTATCTTTGTTTATCTATTTCTGTAACTGACACATAGTGACAAGCAGGACAATTCATGTTGTTCCACCAATTGTCATTCATGCTACCGAATTTTAACATTTGTGTTCAGCTAAATGGGCACAGATTTCCGTGTAATATATACGGTTGTATATGTGCAGTATACGTCAAACTGCATTTGTGATGTGTACCTTTTATTCCATTTCCATATTAGAAAATGCAATCCTCTAACACGACTATGACATTTTGGAGATGGCAACGTTTGTAGTTTTAGGCATGTTGTCAATTTTATTTCATCTTTGGTCAGGAATTGTTGCAGGCATGTTGTTATTTTTTTAAATTTTCTTTTTTTAAAGAACTTGAACGGCTTGGTATGGACAGGTGTTTGGATGAAGGGCTTTGAATGTGCCACAGTAAGCAAAGTGCTTCAAAAGACATTTGTGCTCAGTGTGTGAGGCAGACAGACAGAACAAGAACTGCAGACTCCACAGTCCTGCCCTGCTCCTGCACCAAAATTGCCCTGTAAGATTAGCCGACAACCCCTCCTACACGCAGAGGAGGGAGGAAAGGTGAAAGGGAAACCATATCCCCGAACATTTGATCTAATGGGAGGCTTCCTGGCAAATAACCAGGGCAGCTTCAGGCACTCAAGTGGCGGCACTCGGTTTACTAACAGTCAGGGAAAACACCCTCGACATTTCTCTGTCATCATTACATTCAAACTACGTCAAACGTCATCAATTGTTGAAGCGCAAACAATCGTAAACAACAAATTTCTTTAAATGCGGTACCTACGATAATACAGTATAGTTCATTCAGTTACTCTGTGTATTTAAGTTTGGCCGTCAAAGTCATCGCTTTCAAACCTTCGAGCACGTATGAATGTAGACTTCATTAAAATGACATTTTTACCCCCTGACGAGAAGATAAAAGGCCTTCAGAAATACTAAAAACCCAAACCTTTTGGATCCCTCAAGGAGTCACATCATGACCACCTGAAATGGTAAAATGCAACTCCATTCTTGAAAATGTTTTTGAAACCCGGATTTATAGCTCTATTTCAAAACAGTTGCCATGGCACGGGAAATTGAGCCTTAGATTAAGGGGGATTATGGAGCATGATGAGGCTCATGCCCCTTGTGTTTACTCCTCGGGTTGGTTTTTTTTTTTTTTTTTTTTTTTTTTTTGAAGACGCAGAGTTGTGTGTCTAACCTTGAAGTAGGTTGAGTTTGGCTCTGGTTTCTTGACTCAGTTTGTGCTATTATAAGTGGAAATGTTGACCGACCATGAGTAGACGTGTCGCAATGGTTTCGGATGATGCAATGGGGGTACAGAGTGAATATCAAAACAAGGCCATAGGAGCGTTCATACCGCCATTTATGGTAATAGCAGATTTACTTTCTTTGTCAAACTCGGAATTTATTTTATTGGAAGAAAATTCCACAATATCACAAGATTCACTTTGGTGCGTGTGTGCAATTTGGAAATTCTTTGCTGCATTCCTTGGATTAGTTGTAGGATGATCCTTGATACCCAATCTCGAACTGTAACTAGCAATTTGTCTTTTTCTCTAGTTCTTCCTGTGCTCAGTCTATGTGCCAATGTGCACGGACAAAGTGCCAATTCCTATTGGACCTTGTGGCAGCATGTGTTTGTCTGTCAAGAGAAAATGCCTGCCAGTGCTTCATGAGTTTGGTTTCATTTGGCCAGAGGTGAGTCAACAACCTTCACATATACTGCAGATACTTAAATCAGAGTGCCTGTGCTCCTGGAGAAAGTGAAATGAGGAGCCTCTCTTTTTTTTTTTTCCTCACTTTCCCGTATTACATATATATTTTTCCATTTTGTTCCCGATACAGGTGCTCAACTGCAGCCTTTTCCCGCCTCAGAATGACCACAACCACATGTGCATGGAGGGTCCGGGGGATGAGGATCCGCCGTATTACCGCCATCCTCCGCACCAGGAGGAGTGTCAGGCCTTGGGATCCGCACCCGACCAGTACACATGGCTGAAGCAGACGGATAGCTGTGCACTCCAGTGCGGCTATGACAGCGGGCTCTACAGGCGCGGGGCCAAAGTGTTCACGGATGCCTGGATGGCGGTATGGGCTGTGCTCTGCTTCCTTTCCACCACTTTAACGGTCCTGACCTTTCTGTTGGATTCCCAACGATTCTCCTACCCTGAGAGGCCCATCATCTTCCTGTCCATGTGCTGCAACTTGTACAGTGTTGCCTACTTGGTAAGTAAATTTGGTGTGTATAGGTTTACTTCCTCTCATTTATTGTGCAATAATCTAATTGTAAAGTGTATTTGTTACATATTTTGATGCCTTTTTATGCTTTATAAAACATTTGTGTCTGAATTTTGGGGGGCTTGGAACGGATTAGGGCATTTTCATGGAAAACGCGTCTCGACTTACAAATTTTGATCCACTGGGATGTGTTTGGTAATTTCATTGGTCAGATGTGAAAAGACTATGGATAAATCTGCTGGCGGCTTGAAGATCGTCAGTAAAATTTCATAGTCACATTCAAAGCCGCAGGGTTCATAGAGTGGGGAAAAAAAAGTCACGGCTTGTAGTCCGGAAAGTACACTAATTTAGTTAGCATTTTTTGTGTGTTCTTCCCATTGACTTAAGGAAGTTGACATGATCCTAAGAGAATTTCATTTTGCCATAATTGTAGAAACGTTGAGAGTGAAATTCATTTCCAATTCAACAATGTTTTTCTATCTCCCTTTCAGGTCCGATTGACTCTGGGTCGGGAACGTGTGTCATGTGACCTGGATGCCACCGAAGTTCCTATTCTCGTGCAGGAAGGACTGAAGAGCACCGGCTGTGCCATCGTCTTTCTCCTGCTCTACTTTTTTGGCATGGCCTCCTCTCTCTGGTTAGTGGACGCGTGCATACCACCTCTTGTTGAACAACAATTGGAACATAAGACGAGCATCCTGTTTTGTTTAAAATCTTGCCATCCTCTCCCCATAACCCCTGCATTTCATGGATGAATTCACTCGTATCAAAATCTACCACTGGACTGAGGCCACTTTTCACAATCTTGTTGTGCGGCTATTGAAAAACACAGCTCAAAGTCTTTCTCTTGGATTTTGCCCTTGATTTCCCCTTTCCAGGAAAAGCAAACCCAAAGGATTTATTCTGGCCTTAAATATGACACCACCATCTGTTGTGTAACCCTTTACTTTCTGCCGCCACGAAGAGCAACACAGAATGGGCCTTAGCTGTATTTACACTGTAAGAAGATTGAATGGTGCATTGTTTCGTTTTCTCATCTTGTCAATTCAGGTGGGTGATCCTGACCCTGACATGGTTCTTGGCTGCGGGATTAAAGTGGGGCCATGAGGCTATTGAAATGCACAGCTCCTACTTCCACATAGCGGCTTGGGCCATCCCAGCTGTTAAAACCATTGTCATTCTTATAATGAGATTGGTGGATGCTGACGATCTGACCGGCCTATGCTATGTTGGCAACCTGCAGCAGGAGGCGCTCACGGGCTTTGTCGTGGCGCCGCTAGCGACCTACCTTCTTATAGGTAATTCAAACCTTGCCTACAATAAAGAATTTCATGACACGCTGCGTTTGCTTGCTCCAATTAGTTAGCGGGTGTCTCATTCTCAGAGTCTCTTCCCTTTCCCCATTCCTAAAACACATGCTGTTACTGCTGTCATTGACACACAAGGGGGCTGAACGGCCGAGTCCATTTGAACATGGTTGCTAACCAAAACAAGCACCTACTGAAGCATATCACTCGGATGAATTCAAGTGTGGGGACTCCACATCTTGAAAAAACAAGTTCCATCTTAACGATGAGCTTATGGACATTCCAGTATTGTCTATCATACACATTTCATTTTTAACTCCAGTTTTACAGAATACAATTTAACACCAATGCTGTTTAATCGTTGTTCAAAAGTGAATTTGTAGAAATCCAGCGTATCCAAAGTGAGTTACACAAAACGATTAATTAAATGTCTCCTACGTTGATCTGCAGGTACGCTATTCATCTGCGCTGGTCTCGTAGCGCTTTTCAAGATCCGCTCCAATTTGCAGAAGGATGGCGCCAAGACAGACAAGCTTGAGCGTTTAATGGTGAAGATCGGAGTGTTTTCTGTTCTCTACACGGTTCCAGCATCCACCGTGATTGGCTGTTACCTCTACCAACTTTCCCACTGGGAGGACTTCAAAGCCACCACGCAAGACTCGTACGTTGCATCGGAGATGCTTCGAATCTTCATGTCACTGCTCGTGGGCATCACCTCGGGCATGTGGATCTGGTCAGCCAAGACCCTGCACACGTGGCAACGTTGCTCCGCCCGCTTAATCAAGGACAGTAGGGTGGGTCGAGGAGGCAAGCGAGGACCAGGCAATGGTTGGATTAAACCGGGGACAGGCAACGAGACAGTGGTGTGAGGAGAAAGAATGCACATGACTGGACTTGCTTCTTGAGCTCACTGACGCTCGCCCTGACAAAAGGAGGATGTCATACAAACCACTGGATGTGAACGACGCTGGGAAATATCTCAGAGTCCACACACGCGTGTCTATCTCTGTGTCTCCCACAGTGGTTGATATTTCCTTTAAGTGCCGGAGTTCGGCGAGAAGGGTGGACGGGTTCAAAAACTAGCAGCAACAGTAGCCCCGTGAACTCTCTTAAGACATTTTCCAGCTCAGAGAGAGCTGGAAAATGGAGGAGGAATAAAGACATAGCAGGCAGCATTGAAACATTAACGTGAAAATTGGACACAAAATAAGCTGTGTGGTGCCACGTCTACCTCTGCCTCAATTTTCTGCTCAGCGCCAGTGACTGAACTGCTGGGTAGAATAACCCCTCTACCTTAAAGGCCTTCGAAGGCCGTTGATGAGTCCGTGTACAGATGGTATTCCGATACCGGCGGAGGTTTCCCAAAGAGCCTGGTGTCTTTCTGTATAAAACGGAATGGGAAATGGAAAAGACATACCAGACCAAAAGTGAGTCAAGTCAAATGGCCTTACATTTCTAAAATGTTTACATTTCAGCAAGGGTTAGTTAGTTATTTGATTGACACCAGCTTCAATCTGTATTAATGCAGTCTAATTAAAAACATGAAGTGTCCGTGCCTGCCACAAGTGCATTAATTTAAACAGCAGACTGATTCATAAAAACTCACCAGCGCAGATATCCGTTTTGTTCCGAAGATGCTGCAATAAGAACACCATCGAGTATCAATTACATGATGACTCCAATGAATCAGACGTAACCACAGTATGTAAACATGACAATGGGTTGAGTTGTGCACGTATTGAAATTCTGAGTATGACATTTGTGAAAAAAGGCGGGGGAAAAAAAATACATTTGCAGAGTACCTGTAATTATGTTATGACATTTTCCCCGGAGAGATTTGGTTAGAAACCTGTTGTCTGAGAATTGTCATGGAGGCGAACGACATCAAATTACATTTCACTAAGTGGCCAATATGAAGCCAATCGCTTGCATCCGAAAAACAAAAGTCAAGTTGCTTATGGGGCAATTTGTGGAAGCTCAGCCTGATTGGGTAGAAAGCTCTCATCTTTTCGGAGCCACCTTTTTTTTTTTCAATGGGTTCAATCTCCTGGGAGCCTTATGTGCTCACAGATTAATGAGCAGTCCAGGAAATTAAAGCTGTGCCTTTTCCAAACATTAGCCAGAATTCAACCTTATTAGAAAATCGCTTGCCAAAAGACACAAAGTTCAATACTATATAGCTGTTGCAAACACATGCCCTCATGCAGCTATGCATTGAAACACTTGGAAGAAGAACCAAATCCAAATGCCATATTGATCTCTTTTGGGGTAAAATACATAATATCAGTTCCAGGTGATCATTTCGGGGTCAACTGAATCATCCATAAAGTTCCATAAAGACATTAGAGAAACAACTTGTTCCAGTGACATGTGTCAGGACTGCATCGTGGCCATCCTGGACAATCAAGCCACTCCTTGAAAAAAAACAAAAAAAACAAATGTTCAATGCATTTGAGAATTGAAAAGTCATTTGTTCACAAGTATCACAATCACCATGCGTTAGTGCAGCATTCATCAATGTACACACGCTGAGTGTGTTTGCACGACAATCGAACGAAGCACTTGCGTTTCAGTGAGTCTCGGAATGTATATTTGTAATGTGTGTCAGTTACATTTAGTCCTCGTACAAGCGCAGAGTCCAACGTAGGAAATTTCAAGTGAAAAAGGGCCTATGATAATAGCATTCAGCGCGTCATGAGAAACTAGATAGTCCTTCACATTGCTGTCACGTGCGTTTTGAGGTAAAGCTGCAGAAGTAGGTGAAGATATCGGTTGACAGACTTATGTTGTGTCTCGGCCTACCAAGGGAAATGAGACCTTGTAGATATTTCTAAATATTGTGGTGAACCTGAGAAGCCTGGAGCAGCCACCAGTGGTCCTCCAATGCGGCATACCTTGGCACCCTGATTAGATTTCCAAAGTCAAACAAACATTGCATTGAGCTAAAGTGAATTAAGCAAAGCTCTGACCACCATCCGCCTGAGCTAATGCAGTTTCCCTTTTCTCATAACGTTTGGCGGCCACCTCCCTTATGACCGCACTGTGCCTCCCATGATGTTTCAAACAATAACAGAGTAGTTAAGTTACTCTGACACGGGCCACATTAAAAAATAAAAAAATCACTGGCAATAAGATGTGTAAATGTTGAGATGCCCAGATATGAGTCAATGTTGGTTTTAGTTGAACATTTGTTGGTCTTAGCCTATAAGATCTAAGAAGTGTGGAGAGATGATCAGTGTATTATCGGAAAAATGTTAATTTATCCTTGTAAAAAGAGATAGAATTTTAAAAACCCGTTTGTTATTTAAATGACACTTTTGTATCAGAAGACGAATAAAAAAAAAAAAAGCTTTGGTTACCAAAAGGGTATGTTTTCAGTGTGTGTACGTCCCTTCATGTGGGTATATCGCAACAAATTGACAGCATGAAAAAGTTCTTGGGTTCGTGATACCATTTGATGATGTCATCGTGTAAATTACTGGAGTGCATTAATTCAGAGTGAGTGTTACACATGCACTCACGCTTACACGAGTACACGTCACTGGAGTTTAACAATGCTGCCACCTCCTGTCCGATGAGAAACCAAGAAAATCCATCCATCCATTTTTTAATCCGCTTTATCCTAACAAGGGTTGAGGGCGTGCTGGAGCCTATCCCAGCTGTCTTCGGGCAGTAAGCGGGGGGCACCCTGAACCGGTTGCCAGCCAATCGCAGGGCACACACAGACGAATAACCATCCACGCTGACACTCACACCTTTGGATAATTTAGAGTGTTCAGCCAGCCTGTCATGCATGTTTTTGGAATGTGGGAGGAAACCGGAGTACCCGGAGAAAACCCACGCGGGCCCGGAGAACATGCAAAGTCCACACAGGAAGGAATCGAACACTGCACCTCTGCACTGTGAGACGGGTGTGCTAACCAGTGGCTCACCGGACCGCCCTCAAGAAAATCTGAAACTTTAAATAAAATTTAAATAAATACTTTTAACGACGGTGGTGTAAAGACCTCAAGCAAATAGAAAACCTGTAAAGGGAGCCGAACACGTACGTTTTTAAGCAGCAGCCGAGAAACTTGAAAGAAAGATTCTTCAGGTGGAGTTGGCTAAAATCCCTTCTAGGCTGTGAGCAAACCATGGTGACCAACTCCAACACTTGTTTTTGTCATCAAAGGTTTCTAGTCTTCACAGATAGTTGACTTGGGAATCAAATACTGATTACGATCAGTAGAATGTGTGACATTTGTTAACCTTTTATGTTGGGTGTTTTGTATGCATTTTTGACATATATTCTGTCTACTGTTTTTGTGTGTGTGCGCGTGTGTGTGTGTGTGTGTGTGTGTGTGTGTGTGTGTGTGTGTGTGTGTGTGTGTGTGTGTGTGTGTGTGTGTGTGTGAGAAAATAACTGGATGTTCTAAATTGCTGGCCTATCATTCAAATAGCACGAGTGCAGAAGGTTTTGTTTGGCATGTAATTTAGCTGTAACCCAGCTATACACTAGATTATCTCCTTAGGTGTGTGTTGCTGGGAGTGCTGGCGATGTGCTGGCGAGGGTTTTCCAGAAATCTGGGTTTGTAGCTTGGATTACCTTCCTGTAATTTACTGTGGCTGAATGAGTGTTTGTTTAAGGGCTCCCTCAAAAGCCTGAGGTAAGTGACAAGCATCTACTGCTCTATTGTTTCCAGATGTGGCTCCGCTCTTACACACCACCACAAGAAAGTAAAAGCATGTTCAAACAAACACGATATGTACAGGAATTTTTCTTGTTCCCGAAGAAAATGTTAAATACTCTCTCATTCACACATTCAAACAAGGCCGGTTTGTAGAGAGTAGAGAAATACATGACAAGGCTGGCTCACAGTAAGCCACGACAAGAGCTCAGTGCTAAATTTCCAACAAATTTTCATATCTGACTCTAGTTGGTCACTCTTGCAGGGATGCTTGGACAACCGAAGGGGACAACCACCAAAGACCCAAATGAAGAGAGAAGCATTACATTTTGATATTTAAAGTGATCATCCGGTCGTTGTGGTCAATTTTTTGCTGACAAGCTCAATTTTGTTGTTGTTTTTTTTTTTTTGTTCGTTTGTTTGTAATGAGACATAGACAGGCTGAGATGGAAAAATGTCAGGCTCCAATAGTGGGCTGGGCAATCTATGGCCAAAATCATGTCAAAAAGTCCTAAAGATCACTACAGATTCTTCAAAGGGGGTGAATTTTTTTACACATAGACCTATTATATAAGGGCCGATGTTCAACCCATCCAAGTGTACCTTTAAACAACTACAGTACTGTATACACTTGTACTTGATGATAACTAAGAGAAAACTGAAAGAACGCTTGAATTACTGGAAGGGAATAAAACGATTAATTGACAGAAAGTGGACAGACGCTCAGTGGTGATTTTCAAAGTAAAAGTAATGTTCAAAATAAAAGAGAAAAAGATGGAGTAAGAGCAACATCCGCAAGGACACGCACACACAAGCACACACGCACACGCTCACGCGAGCACGCGCACACTCACGCGCACACATGCCGATACGTATACCAGTTGCGCAATATACTGTGATCGGTATAAAAAGCAGAGTTAAATCTCCAGACGTGCCACTAGATGTCAGTCTTCACCCATCATAAACGGCTGCGTAATCTGGCTCACCAGTTCTTTCAAATTTACTGTACATGTTACTTTTGGACTGTTATATTAATAGGTTGGTGCATTTTCTGCCGCCATTATTTAGGTATTGGATTTGACCTTTCTTTCCAATTGGGTCACCATCACCCTGCCCCCTCTCCACATCAGGGAGGAGGGGGAAGGGCAAACACAGGAAGCGGCAGTCAAACAGGCCAACATGCAGTTCAACGAAATGAAAGAGTATACAAAAGAGTCTCTAGTTCGGTTTCAAACATTTCAACTGAGGTAGCGGCTTTTATTTCCATGGGTAAGGCATTCGAGAGTATTGGAGCCCGAATTGAAAATGCTATAGATTAGAAGCGGCGGACTTCTTTTTTGCTTTCTGGATTGCTAAAAGTTGTGAACGAAGCGTTCAGGGGCAGAACATACGGTGTCACTAGAGTCATTTAATAAGGTATATTTATGTGTAATTGTGTAAGCCCTTAAAGCTGCTGTATATGTCTCAATATCTCAAGTTAACAACAGGAGGGCAAGGAAAGGAGAAGTTATAGAGGCAGCAAGCGAGATGTGACAAAAAGTGGTCCCTTCATTTGGGGCCTGTTAAGATGATTATGAAGATAAAGTATATTCAATTCTGCGACAGATTTTGGATGGAAATTATGCTCGCAGTCAATTTGTTTCTCTTGAATGGGAATTTGAAAATGCTCCTGACTCTGTCCAACAGTGAATCCTTCTGGAACGTACAAGTAGCTCATAACCTCAAGACATCTTGCTTGTATGTGTTTTTCATTAAGGTCATGGGTAAATGTCAACTCATGTTATAGCCAGCCTCGACATTGGAGCAAATGTGTACCAAGTACAAACTATTTAAGAAAAATAAATAAATCACTCTGTGTTGGGTTTGTCAGAATCCTCTATATATTTGTTTTAATTCTTTTTGTTCTTTGGCTTTGCGATGTCAACCTATTTTCACCTGTGTCTTTGAACGAGTGGTGTTTTTGTTCCTTCACGTTTCAGTTATGGTATACAGTTATAAGCTTGATTGGTTCCTGGAATACAGATGAGACACTTACCTAAAGCCTGTGATCCAGGCCAATTTGCATTTTTCTTGTTAGCACTGCCGCATCGACCAGGAGGCGACTGTCACACATCATACACTGGGAATCCGGCCAAAAACAGGTCAAGCAAAAATTACGAAGAGTGTGGTACTCCATTTGAAAAAAAAATGTGATTTCATTTTAACGAGACGTTGTTTGTTAATGAGATCCTTTTTTGTTCTTGCATGACGATGCTCAAGTGCACAAGACAATATCTGAAAAGGCATACTTTGATGAGTTTTGTTTGGAAAATTGACTCCAACATGACCCGGACCCCATCTAACATGTTGAGGATGGATGACAACAGAGAATAGGCTTTTAATTTACAGAGGCAGTTCAGAAAAAAAGCATTGTGGGTTTCTAAGCAGCACTGGCATCTTGCAATCAGACAATTAGCAGCATCCATCCATATATTTTCTGATCCGCTTTATCGTCACAAGGGTCGGTCCCGGTTTTGTGGAGTAATTTTTGGAGCAGTGTAGTGATCACAGCAGAGAAAGCCATTTAGCTTTCTGATCATGCTATGCTATTGTTGCTGTATCATTGATTTGCTGTCTATAATGCCATCTTTAAAGGCGGTTGCAGTCAAAGTGCAATATGTTGGACCCAATAAGGGTTTGGGCAAAGAAATAAACTACACATTTCATACTTTTATTCGAGTTTGAATCCTCTGAGTGAAAGCGCTGGCAGAGAATGCAATAAAACAAAACAAAAAATGAACAGAGCAATATTAGGTCGATATCAGAGTCCTTTTTGGAAGCAACATTGATGTGAATATTTGTCACTGCATTCACACAAATATCTAACAAGACACATTGGCTTTTACAGAGGATGAGCGACCTCGTATTCACTTGGGCGTGCGACCGGTTTTACTTTACGGCAATTTAGTCTGCAAAATCATTATAAAAAAATGTCAGACGATGCTTTAATATGCGCCTACAATGAAAAAAATGGTGTGTTAAATTGACTGCATTTTATTGTGTCATTTGGTTGCACGAAATAAAATCATTTGGACCCGGATACATTTTTAAAGTAGACGATACATCTACTTTAAAAAATGTATCTCAATCACATAATGATTCAACCAAAAGAGAATACTGTACAGGGTTGACTATACAATGTGTGTTATAAAAAATGATGATAAATGCAACATTGTTAAATATACATTCTACAGGTACATATAAGTATATATACATAAATATTTGCATAAACATTATTTTCCAAGAATAAAACATGTCATCAAGTCAAATCAATGTATTGCGATACTTAACTCTACTGCACTCTAAAATTCAACACAACCTGTTATGTAGGCCAGTTTTTCTGTTTTTCTCCACACGTTTCTGTTTTCCAACTTTGCTCCTCAAACTGTCTTCAGTCACATATGCTGCTTTGAGTGTTTGTCAATACCCCGGCAGAGATTGCGTCCACCTGACAGTGGACAGAAAGCATTGGCTGAAGAGCCATTCAAAATGTTCCAGTTGGACCCAGCATCATACTTTTTAATCCAAACCGATAATTGAATTGGAGCACACAACTACGCTCAAAGAAGATGAAATGCCCCTCAGACTGTCATACCCTGAATGCGAGTCAAACAGTTTCAGATGGAAAAATACTCGTTTTTTGAACGATGAAAATAAAATATTGCTTTTGAAGTCCAAAATCTAGAATGCAGAATGACAGTGACAGCCACTTATAAAATCAGGACCGATCTAGCAGAGGAAAACCAA